TATTCTTGTGTCAGTTTGCTGAGAATGATGGTTTCCAGATTCATCCATGTCCTAAAGAGGACACAAACTCATGTTTTTATGGCTGCATAGTATTCCATGGTGTATATGTGCCACATTTTCCCAGTCCAGTCTATCATCAATGAGCATTTGGGTTGGTTCTAGGTCTTTGCTATTGTAAACAGTGTCACAATGAACATATATGTGCATGTGTCTTTATAATAGAATGATTTATAATCCTTTGGGTATATACCCAGTAGTGGGATTGCTGGGTCAAATGGAATTTCTATTTCTAGGTCCTTGAGAAATTGCCATGCTGTCTTCCACAATGGTTGAACTAATTTACCCTCCCACTAACAGTGTAAAAGTGTTCCTATTTCTCCACATCCTCTCCAGCATCTGTTGTCTCCAGATTTTTTAATGATCACCATCCAAACTGGCATGAGATGGTATCTCAATGTGGTTTTGATTTGCATTTCTTTAATGACCAGTGATGATGAGCATTTTTTCATATGTTTGTTGGCACGATATATGTCTTCTTTTGAAAAGTGTCTGCTGATGTCCTTCACCCACTTTTGAATGGGGTTGTTTGTCTTTTTCTTGTAAATCTGTTTTAGTTCTTTGTAGATTCTGGATATTAGCTCTTTGTTAGATGGGCAGATTGCAAAAAATTTTTCCCATTCTGTTGGTTGCTCGTTTACTCTAATGATTGTTCCTTTTGCTGTACAGAAACTCTGGAGTTTAATTAGATCCCATTTGTCTATTTTGGCTTTTGTTGTCAATGCTTTGGTATTTTAGTCATGAAGTTCTTGCCTATGCCTATGACCTGAATGGTTTTGCCTAGGTTTCCTTCTAGGGCTTTTATGGTGTTAGGTCTTATGTTTAAATCTTTAATCCATCTGGAGTTAATTTTAGTATAGGGTGTCAGGAAGGGGTCCAGTTTCTGTTTTCTGCACATTGCTAGCCAGTTATCCCAAGACCATTTATTAAACAGGGAATCCTTTCCCCGTTGCTTGTTTTTGTCAGGTTTGTCAAAGATCAGATGGTTGTAGATGTGTGGTGTTGTTTCTGGGGCCTCTGTTCTGTTCCATTGGTCTATATCTCTGTTTTGGTACCAGTACCATGCTGTTTTGATTACTGTAGCCTTGTTGTATAGTTTGATGTTGGGGTCTAGCACGTCTGCTGGGGGACTACCGACCTGCAGGAGTCCCCAAGACCGCCAACGTAGATGTCTCGTTCAACCTGAGGGAGAGAGTGCACGGAAGTGAAAGAAAATAGAAAAGCGGAGTCTGGAGGGCTGGCTTAGGCTATGACCAAGCAGCAATTTTATTTTTGTAATACGTTTCATTATATACTTTTCTGAAGTCAAAGTTGTTTACACCAGATCAACGTACTTAAGTTACAGTAAGCAAGTTATGCCCAGTAAGTAAGTTAAGCCCAGTAAGTAGATTACGCCCAGTAAGTAGGTTACTTCCAGTAAGTAGGTTACGCCCAATAGGTCAAGGTAAGCAAGTTACAGTCACACCCTGTAAGCTATGGTAAGTTACAGTTACACCCAGTAAGTTATGGTAAGTAAGTTACCAAGTGTAAATACTTAAGTTAATATTTTACAATGAAGGTAACAAGGGTCCAAAATGAACACAATCAAGCAATAAACCATAAGAAGCCGAAAGTGGACACATTGACTCCCAAGTCCTCATATTCATAAAGTAATGTCTGTTAATTATTTAGAATAACATAGTCCCTCTCTTGGTTCCTGCTTTTCCTCAGCTCGACTCCCCCAACCAGGGATCTGTGTCCGGGCTCAAGCTCACCGTATGGTGGGGCCCATTTCCCAGGGGCCTCACACGGGAGCGATCCCCACAGATTCAGTTTGAAGTCCGGTAGTGTGATGCCTCCCGCTTCATTGTATTGATGGTCTTTACCATTTGGTACATTTTTGGAGTGGCTGGTACTGGTTGATCCTTTCTATGTTTAGTGCTTCTTTTAGGAGCTCCTGTAAGGCAGGCCTGGTGGTGACAAAATCTCTCAGCAATTTCTTGTTCATGAAGGATTTTATTTCTCCTTGGCTTATGAAGCTTAGTTTGGCTGGGTATAAAATTCTAGGTTGGAAGTTATTTTCTTTAAAGATGTTGAAGATTAGATCCCACTCTCTTCTGGCTTGTAGTGTTTCTGCAGAGAGATCCACTGTGAGTCTGATGGGCTTCCCTTTGTTGGTAACCTGGCCTTTCTCTCTGGCTGCCCTTAGCATTTTTTCCCTTCATTTCAACCCTGGTGAATCTGATGATTATGTGCCTTGGGATTGCTCTTCTTGAGGAATATCTTTGTGGTGTTCTTGGTATTTTCTGGACTTGAATGTTGGCCTGACTTGCTAGGTTGGGGAAGTTGTCTTGGATAATGTCCTGAAGAATGCTTTCTAGCTTGGATTCATTCTCTCTGTCACATCCAGTTCTACCAACATCATCACAATTGCAATCACCACCATCAACACTATCTCCAATACCACCATCACTGTAGACCACCACAATCACAATCACCATTATCATCACAGCCATCACCATCACCACCACCATCATTGCTACCCACTGCCATCACCATCATTATTACCATCACCATCTTCATCACCACCATCTTCACCACCACCATCATCACCAGCACTATCACAATCACCATTGGTTTAATCATCACCACCATGCCACCATCATCACCATAATCATAAATAAACATTACATAACCGGTGCGTTGCTGGGCCTTGACCCTAGAGCCCACTTACTGTTTCCTCTCTCCAACCCCATCCACACATTCTAACCAACATCCTGCACTGGGCTCCTTGTCTTTTCTGGTCTCACCCACATGTCCACTGAGAAAATGATTCTCAGAACACTAACTAGACCAGGAGGAGTCACACAACACCACTCAGGCCTGTTTATCAATGCCCATTTTCAATATGTTAATAGTGACATCGGATCAATGGGTGTTCTGTTTCTCAGAGGGAGGTCGTAATTCTCCATCTCTCCCCATCATGTTTCCAGACCTTCCTGGACTTGGATATTCCAAATGCAGAGTAGGTGTTGAGGCCAAGGAGCTCTTCCATGTAAGCCTCATTTGCAATCACTGGGCTGATCCTGCAGCCCTCTACTCAGGGACCCATTAAGGAGGGCTTCAGTCCTCAGATCATCCCTGGACCTCCTGCCTTCAGAGGTGCCATCTCTATATTGGCCACTGGATGGCAGCACATACTCACAGACCACATCAATTTCCCTGCAATGCCTGATGGGTTTTTCTCCCTTCTCAGGATGTTTGCCTTGCTCAGAAAGCAGATTCGACAGCAGTGGCACCTAACTTAATTTTCAGCAAAATATTTTGAGAAGGGTGCCCCCTCACACATCTATGCAGTCCGGGTCATGCATACCATGCCCAGTGCTTGGTAGTCAGGAGGAGCTTCCTCCACGCAACTCTGCCCTGCTAGGGCCCAGCTGGGCTCTGGAGCAAGGTGCTGGGATGAGTACCTCCCACGCTGCTCTTGTAAACTCCAGATTCAGTGTCAGTTTTCTGAACCAAGGCAATGATTAAAGTGTAGTCAAAGGCTTTGGGGAAAGAAGGAGAGAGTGCCTCAGTTCTTGCCTGTGCCATGCTCGCAAGGCAGAGTTCTGCAAAATTCTAATGACAGCGGGGCTTGCGAAATTGGAAAACTGGATTATTTGTGAGAGCACAGAGACATCCCTGGGTGTGTCCATCTGGAAAAAATAGCATTTCCTCTGGCAATTTAGCAGACATTCTGTTTCAATTTGACAAAGGAAATAAAGCAGTTTTTCCACAAAAGAAGAAATACGAGTACGAGAATTGTCCCTAGTTGTAGTTTCTCTTCCTAATTCTCAAGGAAGCATAAATCAGAAGATGAATCAGGACAATTTTCACCTAGTAGGTCAGCTAATATTTAAAAAATTGAATATACACAAGGGCGAGGTGAAGGATTTGTTTTCTAGTACCTTTTACACTGTCACACCGTGTTCGAGAATCATCTGGCAGTGTTACTGTGGGATAGAAATACGTCTATATCATTATGGAAACTTGGACTTCAGAAAACAATAAGGAATAAGAGTGAACTTTATGAAAAAAGATGTGAAATGTTGGAAGCAAGAGTGGGGCCAACACGCACGAGGAGGAAGTATTTGGGCAGTGACTCCGCAGACCCAGGCTCAAAGTGAATCACACAACCTCCTTACGCCTCAGTTTCCTTAACTGTAGAACAGGAATGATACGAGTGCCTGCTTCACAGGACTGTTGTGAGGATTAAGTGAGATACACCACATTAAGAGCTTGTGCCTGGAAAGGTTAATTCTTGATAAATGATGACTATTCTTTTCATTTGCAATAACATTACACAACATAAGAGTCACTGTTTTAACTGTTTTGAAGGGCACCACTGAGTGGCATTCAGTATATTCACAATGGTGTGCATATGTTACCGTATTTCCAGAACATTTTCCTCATCCCAAAAGGAAATCTCATGATCATTAAGCAGTAGCTCCACATTAGAATATTAATTATGAAGATTGTAGCATTATTTTAAAAACTCATGATATACATTGATTTAAAAAATCAGTATATGAAACTGTCCATTATGATGTAAGTAGTAAAGAAATGTAGTAAAAATATGAAAAAAAGTGTATAAAATGAATAGAAATTGCAATTCTCAGACTCTTTACATCGTGAAAGTCATTTGCATAGTTTTAAGAAAAACAAAAAGTACACAAACAACAACCAACCTCAAAGCACCATGACACAGCCCAGATTGTTAAATCCAGGCCTCGGGAACATAGAGACGTGTATGACGTTTACACTCTCCAGGGTCAGAGGGTCCCGCGGCACTGGGAGCTGCCTTGTGTTCCGCAGCTTCCTGGACAGACAGGAGGCCCAGCACTGCCGCTCTGATCTTCTGGAACTTCCTCCTGATCATGTTTTGGGAGCGGTAACCATTTCTTTCATCTTTTTAAACACAGGTACCTTTGGGGTTGGCGTTCTCAAGGAAGCCCAGCTCCCCGTGATTGAGAATAAAGTGTGCAATCGCTACGAGCTTCTGAATGGAAGAGTCAAATCCACCGAGCTCTGTGCTGGGCATCTGGCAGGAGGCACTGACAGTTGCCAGGTACGAAAAGATCAAGAGACCAAGCTTAGTCTTGTGTCCTCCTGTCTCAGTCTCAGCCCCCTAGGCTTCAGTCCCCAGGTGGCAAATTCAAGAAGGATTTGTCAACTAAAGACCCCAGTCTAAGTGTTGCTCAGAAACTCCCTAGATCTGTGCCTGAACACATATTCAGATCATCTAAGGGGAGGTCTTGGGGCTCGGGTTCCAGATGGGTAGCAAGGGAGTTATAAGGTCTGTAACTACCTCAAGCCATTCGCCCTCCTGGGGTGTGCTAGTGGCTAGGGACTAAAGTGGTGACTTTTCCAGTAGGGAAGGAGGTAGAGGGCACAGGACAGAGACCAACTGCACACACTTTACAAGGATGCCCAGGCTAGCCCAGTCTAAAGGAAACCCCAACACAGGAAGGGATCGCACAGGATTCACAGGGATTTGTTTTTCCCCAGGAAAAACTAAGTGGTGTGGTTTTGCTGAATACACTTTGCCAAGTACTTAAGCACTGCAGATGCTCAAGTAATATGCTCATAAGTGCCTTTCTGATTTCAATTACTGGGAAAATGTACGTATGGATAAGAGAAGGGTGGTATCCCCTATTAAAAGGCTGGCAGCATTGCCCTCACATGGATTTTTCTCTCCCTCTGTATAGGGTGACAGTGGAGGGCCTCTGGTTTGCTTCGAGAAGGACAAATACATTTTACAAGGAGTCACTTCTTGGGGTCTTGGCTGTGCACGCCCCAATAAGCCTGGCGTCTATGTTCGTGTTTCAAGGTATGTTACTTGGATTGAAGGAGTGATGAGAAATAATTAACTGGACGGGAGACAGAGTGAAGCATCGACTCACCTAGAGGCTGGTACGTGGGTAGGGATTCAGCGTGCTGGAAATAACTGACAGTAACCAAATGAAGACACTGTCCCCAGCTACCAGCTACGCCAGACCTCAGCACTTTTTGTATCATTGTCTGACTGCTGGTTTCTGTAATAAGATGACATAGCTATGACATTTGCTAAAAATAAACTCTGTACTTAACGTTGATTTGAGTACATTTTGGCTTTTGTCTTCAACATTTTCACGTTCTTGGTTCACCCCACCAATTTTAAATGGGCAGACTGAGGGGGGTTGACTGTGTTTGATAAGAAACAGCCGCGCAAAGGACGGAGAAGGCTGAGGTCACAGAGGGGAGAGCCGAGTATTCCTTGGAAGTCGTCCACGCATTTGCCTCATCAGCTAACGAGGGCTTGACGCACATTTCCACTGTCTTTATTCCTGACACAGAGACGAACGTTTTCAAAGCTGCAACATGTACAGAGAGCCCTGAGAGCCGGTTCTGTTATTGGGAATGAAATCTGTTGCTGACTGTCGACTTGAGCCCAGAGGGGACCCAGAGCAGAGAGGGGTATATCAGGGAGTGAACTGGGCCATGAGCGTGTAACACAAGAGCAGCTGAGAGTCTGAATGTTATTCTGGAGCACATGTGAGTCTAGGACGGGTGCCAGGAGCATGTGAATGGACAGCAAGCTAATACTGAAGGTGGACCCCTTATTTTCCATCACTAATTTCCTGCCCAATTTTTAACCAGTCTGCCGCTCACTGTCACAGGAGAATGACCTGTGGCAGTGACATGTTTAGAAGGAAGAGAAAGGACAAATGTACATTTTTTACAATTTAAAATTTTAATTGTTGCCAAACAAACATATCCACTCAAAATACAATTTAACAACGCAGCAGTCATCTTACAGCAAAGAAATGCAGAGAAGAGCAAAACTGCAAGTGACTGAGCCAAGGGTGAATGTAGTCTCCAATCCTCAGAGAGCCGTGTTTATTTCAGTGACAAACAGATCATTTGTATTCAATTCTGATGTGCTTTAAGGGTTAAGATCCTCATTTTACAATTAGCGCACGTGCATACACTGTGACCTGTTCTCCTTACAGAAGTGTTCTTCCTCATGGTCAGTGTTTCCCTTTGGTACCAATTTTGCCTGTTCACGTAAAGTATTTCGTTTTTAAAACTCAGCATAAAAGATTGCATCTGAAAAGATAATGAGTATACAGTACAAAGCAGAACACACAAGTCCCACATTTCAAAGCCTCGATAACAAAAAAGAAAAATCAAATCCTTTACTAGTCTCCATAAAGTCATTTATAAACTTCTGCTGATCCTGTTAAGCATGGATATAACTGACTTTTTCTTTTAAATTGAAACATAAGCTTTTCTCCAAGACATGTCAGAGTGCCAAGACTGAATGGGAACTGTCCATGTTTTTCACTTCTGACCACACAGGCTCCAGCAGAGCTGAACTCACAAAGGTAGGAAAAATATCCCTTCACTGTTAAAATCCTACAACCCAGAAATCATAATCCATGGGATTTGTTTAGTAAAGAAGGGAATCTGTGGCTCTAGGTGTCCACTAAAGAAGGGCCAAAAATGTCCCAGATCATCTCAGAACCATAGCATTATTTTATAATTAACAGAGTCAAGTCCCCAGACTGTACAGCAAATTGGTTCTTATTGCTGCAATGGGGCCTAAACCATGCCTGGGCCTCCGGATGCTACAGAGGAGGTGGACGGGAGAGACTCCTAACCTGTTCACATTGCGAAGGTGTACGGGACCCAAGGTGAGCAGAGAACATGAATGCTCATGCCCCGTGGCCCAAGTGCCTGTGATTCAGCCTCCTTAACAGGATTCTCAAATCTTCATCCTCCATGCAGTCTTCAGAATGGTAAGTTAGGGGCTTAATACCTTGACTGATCGGATTTGATGAGCACATTTCTTTACAACTTTCTCAAATCCTTGGTTGGCACATCCCACATTCTTGATGGAGTTGTCGTGAGAATCGGGTCGGGGGGAGGGGCTTCTCCTGTCTCTCTTTAGCCTAAAGGGTCAGACCACAGAGAACACAAGGAAAAAATCCAGGAAGGGCTGTGCACCTGACAGGTTGTTAAGCTGGCTACATATTATGTGTTCCCAGAAAATTCAACAGCATTACAAATTCTAATTCATCCAACTTTATATAAAAATACTCTGGATAGTTTGTAGTCTTTATACAGTATTACAACAGCGCGGCATAATGTAGCTGAAATGCACACGTGCACTTCTGCAAGGCACAGCTTTGCAAGGAGGATCAGCTCCTGGATAGTTCCGTCCTTCCGTCTTTGGCAGGGACCTTAAAGGTGAGAGTTGGAAACGGGGGTTTTCTTATTCCTGCCACATTTATAGGAATGTGGACTGAAAAAAAAAGGAGAAATTATTTATGAAAGACTATGCAACTAGTTAGAAGAGGGTCTTCTGTTATTATTTAACGGTATAGCTGGTTTTGATCAGACACTCATGCATAACATGTCATGAAAACCCAACTCTAAGGTAACAACACAATCTGTCTTCAGGCTCATTTTTTATCTGCATTTAGACCCTAGGCAGGGGTTAGTTAGCATTATAGCATTTAAGTTCTTTATGAATTGCTACTGAATTAACATATGTTTGGAAATGAGCTGTTAACATGAACAAAACCCAGCAGAAATGATACAATAATTCATTGTGATTTTAGAAGAGAAATACTAACGGGTTTTAGTAATTTAGCACTAAGTGATTTTTGTAGAGTAAATAATCATGGATCACAACTAATGCGCTTAATTTGTAACACTGTAAACCATACTTCTGCTAGTTTTTTTCATATGTGGAGACTAGGTATAATTAATTAATGCAGCACACTTTCCATTATGAAAAATTATAAACAGGAAAAATTAGAAAGAATCTGTGTAACTTAAATTTTTGCTGGTATAATTCTTCATGCTTATGTGTTAGTTGGATATTGATTTTCCTTACACACCGTTTAGACAACACACCCTCCACCCACATGCCCCAAGCCAAAAAAAAAGTCTCTTCCAGCTGTTTATTTCTAATGTGACTGAAGTGGTAGAAGAGTCTTGGCTTTAAAGGGTTTCCTTTTCTCCCATTATTTCCTGATGAGTTTGCAAAACTGACCCCTGATTGGTTTGGGGATCAAGAATGAATGCATCACTCTCACTGTGTAAATAGACAGCAGTCAGTGGAATAGAATCAAAGGGAAGAGAGCTGTTCCTTAGTATTTTTGATATAGCAAAAATATTTAGAGCTCCATAACCGTAATTCCTAGGTCATTATTAATATTGCTTTTTTAGTTTTTAAATTAGTTGCTAAATCATTTTTTAAAACTACACAAACAACACAAGACTGTGTGTTCTAAGTTTTCTAAAAAAATGAAACAGTACAGAAGTCTCTGGCAAGAAAGTGATGGCCCTCCCTTCCCTACCCCTCTTCTAAGCACATTTGTGTCCACAGAGAACTATTATTATTATTTTACATCTTTTACTGTACATTCTCATATTCATAGTCTCTATATTTTTTAAAAATTTCAAACAAAATTAGAAGGAATACGTGTAATGTGAATTTTTCTTGATATAAGTCCTTGTGTTAATATATTGGCTAGGTATTAGCTTTCCCTATACACTATTTAAACACCACCCCCTTCCAAAACTCAATCTCTTTCTCTTTTCTGTATCTTCCTACTAATGTGTATTATCTATCTATAATCTATTATCTATTTGTCTATCCACCTATCTATCCAGACATTATCTATCATCTATTATTTATCAGTTGTCTATCTACTACCACTTATCTATGATTATCAACTATTATATCTGTCTATCTACTATCATCCATCTACCTATTCTCTATCATCTGCCTATCTATCATCTATGTACCACCTGTCTTCCCATCCAGCTACAGAGTGGCGTTGCCTTTGGTTTTATTTTTTTATAAATACTATAACATGTTGTTCAGTGAAGTTTCACCTTGTAATCAGTCTTGAGAAGCTGCTTACGCCATTCCGTCTAGTCAGACCTGACCCCTCCTCACTCTGTAGAGTAAGCCACCCTGTTAATCCCCTGCCACTGCATGTCCCCTTGATTTCCACTTTTCCACATCATCAGTTCCTTCCTTTAGACTTCTGACTCTTACAACCCTACATGGAAGTGCTTCTCTCTTCACGACCACGTTTAAAAAATAATGTGTATTCTTATATAGCTTTGGAGGTTTTTTTTTTACATGAACCTTTTGTATCTACTTTGAATTTTTTGCTTATGAGATGAGGATATATTCTTATTTTTTCCCTATGGATATTCAATTTTCTCTACATCATTTATTCCCCAGCGGTTTGAAATGTTGCTTTAATTTAGGGAGCATGAATTTTGGACAGTACCTGCCAAGTTTTTCTACATCATCCACTGTCTCTGGCAGGGCAATACCCTTGGTTTCAGGCAAAAGCATCACAAGGCCACCACAGATGGATGCCAGGATACCTATGGAATAGGGGAAACATGTTACCACCCCAGGAAGACACAGTTGGGCCCTCTCCCATGGGCCTGCTCACTCTAAAGCTGCCATGTTGCTCACTGGAGTAGCTCTCAGCCACAGCAACCTCTGCATCCCAGGTGCCCCGACTTTACCACAATTTGAAATATTCTCTTCCTTCCTCAAACTCTGAGCAGCACCAAGGCCCCTGTATACACATCTCACAGTAATTGACTGAGTGCCTTCTCACGGTCCAACACCCAAGGCCTCCCCTCCTGCATTATAGGGAAACAGACGTGCTGCAGGGAAGGCCCCTCTGTGCCTGCTCACTGACGCTACACTTACCTGCTCCTCTCCCTCCCACTCCTCCTGTCACCTTACAATGGAAGACTTGTCCTGGTGTCTACCCCAGGACCAGCCTTCACCTAGGCCTGTCTCTTTGGGTTCCTCACTGTGTAGGTATCAACCCTTTCTCCAGTATCTTCAACCTATTGGAAGAAGCTTTCAAATACATTCAGATCTTTTCTGTTTGACTTCTCTCGATCTCACATCATACTTCCATTACCATCCTTTCTTTTCCTGCTCTTTAGAGCCAAGTTCTTGAAAAGCCACCCTCTCCTATTTTCTCCACTTCTTTGTATCTAGTGGTGTGCTGGTAAATGCCTAACAAGCTGCTTTGGGCAACCAAGCTCTGATTGGCAGCAT